TGTGTGTGTGTGTGTGCGTGGCAGGGAGCTCGGAATCAGGCACTTAGTTCACTAGCCGTCGGCGCTGCCTCTGGCAGGGGCGAGGAGCCCTCGGGAAGTGCGTCACCATCGTCCAATACAGCAGCCTCCTCAGCACAGAAGGAGGGGTCCTCCACGGGCCCCGGGGAGGTGGGCGAGTCAAGGGCCGGCGGCGGCGGCGGCGGCGGCGGCGGCGACGGCGATGACCGCAAGCTCGGGGCAAACACCGGAGTCGGACCAGCAACCCGGGGGATGTAGGGGAAGGGCGAGCCACCGCCAGAGGCAGCCAGCGAAGTGGCCGCAGAGGCAGCAGTGCCAGTTGCAGCGGTGTCGCCGCCTGACCGACTGGCCAGGGGATCTTGCGTCAGGAACTGCAGGCCGCCGGAAAAGGCGCTCGGACCAAGAGCAACAGCGGCTGCTGCCCCCGATCCGCCGAGCCCCAGAGGACCCGGTAGGGGGGTGATTGGAAAGCGACCTGGCGGGCCATTTGCCTCAGTCGAGTGCGGGTCCGAGGCTGGTGTCGATGGGGACGCCTGCGAGGGGGGGAGCTCGCCGGGCTGGTGCTCCCGGCCAGGCGATGGCCCATCTTCCCCTCCGGCAGCAGGCGCCTCGAGGGCATGGTCATCGCGCGACGGGGGACAGGGGCGATCCTCGCACGGCCAGCCCAGGAGAGCGCGCGATTGGCGGAGAGCACTGCCCAGCCGGACGCACAGGGCCGACCAGATTGGCAGGAGCAGCGGCCGATCGAGCAAGTGCCTGGAGGCGGCCTCCACCGCGGCCAGTAGAATGCCAACAGCCGCGGCCAGTCGCAGGGCACGACCGAGGCGGGCGAAGGCCGTCCGCGGGGGCGACCCCTGGGCATTGTGGGCAGCGGCGGAGGCAACCGCCTCCTGCACGGCGGTCAGACAGCCGGCAAGGAGGCTGGCATCGGCCGTGGCCGGCACCGCCTTCGACAGGCGCAAGGCCACGCCGATCTCCCGGGGCGAGAGCCCGCGACTGGCGAGGAAGTGGGTTGGCGACTTGCCGGGTGTTGCGGCAACGGCCTGTTCCACGCGCGGATCGCGCAGGAAGACCGCCGCAGCTGCGATGATGTCCGATCGCAGGGACACGGATGCCATTTCCGGGCCGGTGTGACTCCGTGCGCGGGGGCGTTTTTTGATCGTATGCACGAAAAGGAGGGGCACGAGGGGGGTTGGCGAAAAAAGAGACCGGAAGCGGAGGAGGAGCGAAGGGTGAGCTGGTGCACGCTCTCCCGGCCCCATCTGGCGAGTGTGGTCCCTCCTCACTCGGGTCGCGTCCTTGTACTAGGGCCCCCCCCCCCCCCCGACGGGCGACGACAACAAGCAGCAAAGGATGGAGATGGGCATGTCGATCAGGACGGATGGGCGCCCATCACATGATCACACATCGATCTTGGCAGACACCTGCCCCTGGGACGGGATCTTCGCGGCCATCGAGAAGGCGGCGGCGGGGACAGGAGGCTGCTTATGTGTCTATTGTGTGGGGGGATAGCAGGCCGGCGAGGAGGCAGGAGAAGCGAGGGTGGGCATGCGGGCTGCGCGTATGTGCATGTGCGTGTGTCTGTGTGTGTGCGCGTGTGGGAGAGGGGGAAAGGAGGGAGGGCGACACAGCACCACGGCGGTCAAGTGCCACACCGGGGCTCAATGCTTCTGCCGCTTCAGGGCGCCATCTTGTGAGTGGCCGTGAGGCGCCGATCCGGTGGGAGAGGGTGGCCGCTTTGCAGAGGCCCCGAGGCCGGAGTCTGCGCATGAGGCGTGGTAGTTCTGGCGACGGGAGGAAGGGTGGGGCATGTAAGACAGTGTTGCATGTGTGTGTAGATTATAAATAGTAAGTGTGTATATATATATGTGTGTGTGTGTATGTGCGCGTGCGCGAGGATCCGGCGGCGAGAGCAGACAAGGGGGGGGGAGACCATTCGAGCGCGAGATGCACGTACAACACCATCGAGCTGGATTGTGTCGACATAGACCCACTCCTCGAGCTCCAGGTCGTAGGCCTTGGTCAGACGGTCCGCGCAGCCGGCGCATGTCCGGTCATTGGTCACCCCGGGGCGAACCTTGACAATGTGGCGTCGCTTGTCGGCGCGCTCATCGGCATCGGGGCCCGTGTTGGCCTCGGTATCTCGGGATTCGGATGGCTCTGTGGCCATGGCAATGCGGTGCCGGGGGCATGAGGGACGGCACCAGAGCGTGAGCGACGGGATGCGCGGCAAAAAGGGCGGGCGCAGCGAGCGCGAGGAGCACACATGCCGGAGACAAAGCAGATCCCACCCCCCTGGCGTACCGTCAACATTGACCCGGGCATTCATGGTGAAGGTGGTCCAGTCGGAGGGGGGCATGAGCCAGCCCCGCATCGGGGCGCGGGTGTGGAAGGTGCCACCCCCCTCGGGACCGGCCTCCTGAGCCGCGGCTTCGCGCTGGTTCTGCTGGAAGTGCAGGTCCATGTGCTGCTCGAGCAGCGAGTTGCCGGCCGGGTTCAGGGCAAAGCGCCGCGCGCACTGCCGGCACTGCTGCGAAAGCTCATCGTAGATAAAGAGGAAGGCCCCGGGTTGGTGGCTGGTTTTTTTTTGTTCGCAAACCCACAAAGAGGAGGGAGAGGAAGAGGGAGAGCGCGCGTGCGCGGGCGAGGTCAGACGCGGCCAGTGTGCCGAGGGGGAGGCGGAGAAAGAGGGGGGGGGGGGGTTCATGGAGCGGGGCAGGGCCCCGTGTGTGCTGCCACACTGCTGCGCCGGTGGCGGTAGTGCTGGTGGGCAAGAGGGCATTTTGTGGGGGCCCGGAGAGGTGATTGGGCGCTGATTTATTGCTTGGTTCCTTCCTCGCACACTGGTGCACGGCACAATGGCGGTGTTGGCGAGCGGCTGCACGTGCACCTGCATGGGGGGCAAATAAAGGGGAGTCGCGGCTGGCCATTGTTGGTGGCCCCCGACAAGGCTGCGCACATCCCCAGCAGCAGCAGCAGCAGCAGCAGCAGCAACAGCAGCAACCGGGACAGGGGCCCCACGACGGCGGGATGGCCCCGCGGCCGTGGGCGTGCCATGGCAGGAGAGGCACATTTGCTTGTTGCCACCGGAGCGACAGAGACGCCCGGTGTATGTGCGCATGCGCGCGAGCAGGGGGCACAAAAGGGCAAAAAAAGAGCGCCAAGGCGAGGTCCTCCTTTTCGCCGGCCCCTGTTCGGTCCCCTGTCCGATCCACGCCTGCCCGACTTCCAGGCTCTCCCCCGCAGGAGGATGAACATCCTCACCAGCGCCACCAGCACCCTTGCGACCAGCACCGCCGGTGGCAGTAACACGGGCAAACGAGCGAACAAGCAAGCGAGCAAAGCATGGGAGTTGGAATATGTACCGGGATATGTCTGAAGTATGGAGGCCAATGGCCGGCACGGCGGTCGAGGTGGCTGGCGACTGCGGGGCCACGGGCAGAAAGACGCCGGTCGAGGGGGGCAGGGTGATGCCGCCGATGGCAACCGGGGCCACGGGCCGGTGCTGCTCAAAGCGCCCATGCGGGCCATGGCCATCGGTGGGGGCGACGACCGGCGGCGGCGCGGCGACCGGGGCCGGCACAAAGTGTCCCACGGGGGCTGGGGTTGTGCCATAAGCCCCGGCATATGGCGCGGCCGGTGCCTGTGAGCCATAGGCCCCGGAGTAGTTGCCGGAGTAGCCGCCACTGGCGGCATAGTGTGAAGGGACGGGAGGGGGAGGCGCAGTGGGGAGGCTGCTGCGCAGGGGGACCGGAAGGGAGGGCAAGCGAGAAGGGGAGAAGGGAGGTGAGTTGGGCAGGAAATGCGGAAGTGGGGGGGGGGAGGGTTCTATCGGGGGTGGGGACAGTGCCTGGCGGGAGGGAGGGCACACCTTTCATCGTGGGAGTAGGGGGCGGCAAAGTGCCCTGAAGGGGGAGCCGTGGCCGGTGCCAGGGGAATGGCAGCAGGGGCCGGGCCGCTGGCCGGGCCCCGAGAGGGCCGGCTGGACGCTGGGCCCCCGGCCGGGGGCGCCGGAGAGGCGCGGGCACTGGCGGATCGTTGGCCGGCTGGCCGTTGGCCGGCCGGGCGCTGGCCAGCCTGGCCTCCGGCCGCGGCGCCCGACGAAGGGGCCGGCGGCGGGGCGCGCACCTGCTGCAGGAACCCCTGGAGCTGGTTCAGCGTTTGCAGGCTAAATACCCGGTATGTGCACCAGGTGTTGAAGAGCTTGACCAGGGCCCGCCGGTCATTCATGGGCGGGTCATTGGAGCACAGGTTGTATACCTGGCAAAAGCGGTCGAAGACGCCGCGCTCAAAAAGAGACCCGTACGGGCCGGAGACCACCTTGCAAATGGAGTCCATCAGGTAGAGGGCGGCGATGCGCGTGCGGGGGTCGTGCGACCGGGCCAGCGTGTACTCGGCCACGGCCTCGACCACGCCGAGCGCGCGATTCCACACCAGCGCATGCTGCCGAGCCTCGCGCGTCAGCGACTGGATCGAATCCAGGGAGTTGAAGGTCAGCTCGGCCCAGAGCCGGGCAATGTAGGATCGCGCGGTGGCCAGGGCCTCGGCATTGCCATGCAGCCGACCGGCCAGGTGTTGGTCGGCCGCGGCGCGGGCGTCCGGCGAAGCTGCCGGCTGAAGGCCGGAGGTGGAGGCAGGGCCGGGGGCAGGGCCGGGGGCCGTGCCCGAGCTGGCGGCCGCGGGCGCGGAGGGCGAGGCCATCGGGCAATGGATGGGCGAGAGAGAGAGAGAGAGACAGAGGGAGGGGGGGGGCGGCGAGGCTTCTTTCACCGGGCAAAGACCGCGTCAAGATGAACAAAGGAGGCAGGAGGCAGCGGAGGAGAAGGGGGAGGGGGGGGGGAGGGGGCAGGTGTAAAGGGCTGGTGCATGGCGCAGCCCTCCGGCGTCTTGGGCGGTGCGTGAAAAAGAGAGGGGAAAATGCCCGACGCCCGAGCCGTCCGCCGGCCGCCGGGACCGCCCCAAGAGCGGGGGTACCAACTGAAGGGGGGCCCCCGAGCGTGGGGGGGGGGGGGGGGAGATGCCGTTGTCGGAGGCGCACGGCCGGCCGTTGGGAAAGACCGCGGCCGCCGGGGGAGCCGCTCTGGCCATGCCGAACTGACGTACACACCCCTGCCGGCTGGATCTTGTCCACCAGCCTTGGTTCCCAGCCCGTGTCAGGGGGCACTGCGCCCGGCACCGGTCGGCTCTTGTGCCGGGAGGATGGCCAGGAAACATCCACAAGGGGGGGGGGGGCGTATTTCGGTCTTGGGACACAATGGGACGTGCGGCAAGACCCGCCGCGGGGGGCCGGGAGGGGGCTCCCCGCCCGAGAGAACCATGTGCCAGCGAGCAAAGTCTCACGACCAGGCACATGATCCCCGCGGGCCGGCCCGTCGGCGGGCTCGCCTGGTCACACATCCGCCGGCCCCATGACACCGTTCTCATTCTTGAGCAATCGAGTGGGAACAATAACACAACGGAGATGCCTGCTCATTTTGTGGCCGATGGATGCTCATTCTCGTTTCGCCTGCCGTGTGCCCGCGGCCGGGCAGGCCCTCTGTGGTCCGCCCCCGCTCCCCGTTTGTTACCTTTCCTGCTTACTGCCTCCACCAGGTCGGCCTGAGGTTAGTCGGCCTGCCCACCCAGCCGGGGTGCGGGGGGGGGGGCGCAGGTGGCATAGGTCCGGAGGGCGGGAACCCATTTCGGACTAAGGTGCGCTGCTTGAGCTCCCAGAGTACAGGGCGGTCCCTCCGGGGGGCGGGGGGGGGGGGGGCGGAATGAGGAATTAATGATGTGTTTGTTCCGGAGTCCCAGGGCCGCTCGGGGGGGGAGGGCGACGGCCACGGCGCGGCGGGGGGTGCCTCTCGTCGTCCTGCGGCCCTTGCTTCCGGATGAATGTGGCCCTGCCCGCTGTGTCGGGAGGCGCGAGAAACACAGGGACTCCGCTTCTTGGCCGCCATTCGCCCTCGCTCGGCCTGGAGAGCAAAAGGGAAGGGGCGGGGGGCTCGTTCTCGTCGTGACTCCCCGCTCCCTGCGGTGCCCCGTGTCTGGCGGGGGGGGTGCCGGCTTCCAGGGCACATTCCCCGGGGCCAGGGGGGCGGGGGGGGGGGGGGCTCCCTGCGCTGGAGGCTCATCCTCCCCCTGGTGAGACAGGGAAGCCGGAGCCGGGGGCGGGCGGTGGGGGCGGAATTTGCGCCTCTCACCTTGGGATGCGCCGGTGAGCGATGGCAGCCCGTTGGCGCACCTGGGTCGATCATTGCTGGGCGGCGTTCTCCAGGCCGCGGTGACGGATGCGGTGGCCAACCGCGCCCCGCATGACGCCCGATGAGAGCCCGGCAGTTGTGTCCCGGGGCCGGGGAGGGCTTACACGACAAACATGCAAAAGCCCACGCAAGGCTGTTGCATCCTCCGAGAGGACTCCCCCCCCCCCTCCCCCTGTGCCGTATGCGCTTCTTCATGCCGGGCAAAGTGGGTCATTTCCCGCTGCTTGATCCGGAGAGTTGCGTACAAACGCGGGCCTGGCGATTCTACGGGCGGGGGGGGGGGGGGGGGGGAGGGGGGAAGAGAAAAAAAGGAGGCCTGCTCGGCGTGGTCAAGCGTCGAGGCCCTCGGCCTGCACCGCCTTAGGAGGCGCGGCGCGCCGGGTGGGCCCGGGAGGACATGGCGGTGTATTTTTTATTTTTCGGCGGTCGGCCAGCGCTCGTTCCGGCCCCCTCTGCGCTGGCCCCCCCCCCCACGGCCCCTCGGGGCGATCTGGCCGCTCCCACCGTACGCGCCCGGTTGTTGGCCGTTGATGCCGGCGCCCGCTGTGCGCTCGTTGCCGTGCTCCTGCACTTCCAGTCTTCCACGGGGGGGGGCGGGGGGCATATGTGCCTCAAGGGGAAAATCCCATCCCTTTGGCAAGTCCACCGCCCGGGGCGAGTGTCTAGGCCGGGTCTTTTCGGGCGGACTCTCGCCCCGCCATCCGGGGTCCCCGGCCCAAACAGGAACCCTCCTCTCTCTCTCTCTCTCCCCCCCCCCCTTTCTCTCCCCCTCCCCCCTTCTCCCCCGTGCTGCTCTTCCCGTCGATCGTCCTCCCCTCTCCCTTCCCTCCTCGCCCCCTGTGTGCGCCTCCCCTCCCCGCCCCCTTCTCTCCTCTGCTCAGCCATGAGACGGATGCGCGCCTCGGCCACCGGCCGGCCTGGTGCCGGTGCCGCGGGCTACTCCAGCATGACCGCCGCTCGGAAGAGCCTCAAAACCAGCGAGAACCAGGGCCACGAGGCCAGCACCCTGGTCTGGCTGAAGCATGTGCTCACCGAGAGCCAGATCGCCGGGGAGATGGACCAGTGTTTCCGGACCCGCGCCGGCAGTTCGGCCGAGGAGGTGTGCATCGACCTGGAGACCGACTTCTGGCAGACGATCCTGGTGCGTGTTTGCTTCCCATGCCCCCCGCCCCCCTCGCGCCCCGGACGCCTTTTTTTCCCCCCTTCTTTTTCGCTGACCCCTCCCCGACGGTGACAGCGCGGTGTTCTCCTCTGCGCCCTGCTGGAGTGCCTGCTTGGGCGGCTGAGCTTTCCCCGGCCGGCCGAATGCGCCACCTTCACCTGGGTCGCGCGGCCCCGATCGATCGTGGAGTACTACAGCAACATCAACGAATTCCGGGCCACCTTTCAGCGCCTGCTGCAGCAGCGCTGCCCGGCCATCCACCAGGCCCCGCCCGGGTCCAGCCCTTTGAACGACGACGCCGACCGGCCCTACTATTGGGACCACCCGAGCATTCTCAGCTGCGATGTGACCCTCTATACCGAGGCGGCCAATCCGTCCAGCCGGTCGTCCGAGGCCGCTCGCTATCACGTCATCAAAACCATCAACATGATGCGCTTTTTCATGGAGCAGCTGTCGGAGATCTTTGCCGATGTCGACCGCTCGGGCCCGACCCCGGTGGCCGTTCCCCGGTCCCTGGCCAATCTCTTCGGCCCGGCGGCCGATGCCAGCCCCGCATCTCCGCCGGCCGCCCGGTCGGTGGCGACCTCCTCGGCCACTGCCGAGTCTGCCGCCCCGGAGGAGAGCAGCCCCGGCCAGACGCCCAGCCAATCGGTCCCGACGAAGGCCCCAACGCCCGGCGATGCTGCCACACCTCCCAGTCCAACTGTCGGCCCTGAGCTTGATGCCGCCATCGGTGGCCCTTCTTCCGGCTTCGCGGCGGGTGCTCCTCCTGTGGCTCCTGC